TCTACTTTCTAACGAGATTTGTTTTGCTGCTTTTTTGAATGGGACGATAACGCCTTTTTCATTAACAATTGTAGATATTGTGATGAAAAGCAAGAACGATCCACGTCGACATTCCTTAGCAATAAAACAAAAGAACGCAAAAGGAGTGGTTAAGTATTTTTACAATTGCCAGTCACTAACATATTCCGGGAAAAGAAATTTTACTACGTATTTTGATGAAGAAAAAAAGAATCTTCGAGGAGTTTTTTTCTTTCTGCTCTCATGTTTGATGTTGTTGAAGACTGGAACGTTGTAAATAGTTATTTTGTCAAAGACGTTATAGTTTATAAAAATCGACAAGATACTGCTATCCAACCGCAAAATACTTACATTCCTTTATTTCTAAGCTCCAATATGTCAAACATGGAGAAAACTTTTTAAACTAGTTGCTATTTCTGATTCTTTTAAATTTTGTTTTTTTCTACTTAACTATGACATATGAAATGATTCGTAATACTGTATAAAAACGTTAAAAAGGTGTTATTGCAAAAGAGTAGATTTAAAATAAACGAATGAAAGGAAACACTATGATCATTTCTCTGCCAACTAGGCAAATAAAACTGGCAAAAGAGAACTATGTTGTACATCATTTTCTACCATATTCGTCATAGAAGTAACTGAAAATGAAGTGAAGCATAAATATATAGTGGAAGAAACACACAACAGATGAATTTTATCAGAAAATCAAGTTTAATCTACTCTTTTTTATAATAAAAAAATGCGATGCGAGACTCGATATTCTTTTTTTTCACATTTTTGGATAATTAAAAAGAAAAGAATGAATAAAAGCTGGACGCCATCTTCTTCTAACAAATGTTCTACCGTTGAAAGTGCAGTTGATATTAGATAATCCAGCAGTAAACCATCACCGTTCTTTCAACATATGGTAGTTTAAATTCTCAATTTAAATAAACTCATTTGTTAAATTTATAGTGTCACTTGTACTTCGACAGTACATTAATTTGCCTTCATTTTCGAATAACTGCGAATGTTGAAAAATCTGTGAAAACCTTGAAATCGTGATTTCAATATTTCCATTTTACGTTTGATTTATTATTTTCTAGTTTTTAGATCGCGAACTCTTCGCGACACAAAAATGACAGCTTTTTATGCGTACGTAAAACTTTTAAATAATTCTATTGATGGTAATATCAATAAACATGTTAAAGATAAATTTTGGAGTAGTTTATCTAAATTTGATGTTATTTGTAAATTTGAAAATATTATCTTCATTCCAGATAGAATCAAAGAATTAGTTAAAGTTGTTTATGAACATATAAAGCAAACTCCTTTCACAAAGATCATTTGAAACAATAAATGACACGTCTCGAACTTCTTGAAGAAAAATACGTTAAAAATGTAACTAAATATAATCTCAAGTTAATACTTTTATTTCTAGTTATAAAGGATATTTAAAAAAATAACGACAACAACAAAATTTATCATCGATCTGGTTCTTCATCCCATGGTCGTTCAATTCGTTTTTGTTCCCATGCATTTAAATTTTCTTTTTTAACCATTTGCTCATATTCTTCTTCTAATGTTGTTGGTTCAACAAAATCCAGACCTTTAGCTTTGATTTCATCACGTGAATAAGTTTTAACATGATGTTGTCGACGATCATAACGTACCCATGTTGCACTACGTAGTGTTATATAAATAACACCCATTAATGTTATATATGGAAGAAAATTTTTTATAAAACGGTTATTTATCATAGATTAATTTTTTTGATGCTTGAACAAATAAATTCTTCAATATTTTCTAGATCCTTTTTTTCAAATGATTGTAAAGCAAAACCAAAAAGAAGTTGTTTTTTTAATTGTAATCGTTCGTAAAGATGTCGAGCAAGAATATGATATTCGGCTTGATCTTTACCAAGAAGAGATTTTATTGAATAGACTGGAGATGAATCTTCGTTTAGATTAACGTCACGACGAACGAGAACCTTAAATATTAAAATATAAAAATAAGTTATCTGTATTTATCTTAACTTACCAAACTTCCAACTTTTCCAAACTGTGTTATTGATATAAAAAGTTTATTATCAAAATTACTTATAACAAGATCGGTAACGTGATTATTTAATGTTGTTTGTGCCTAAATATAATAAAAATTGAAGGAAATAAATATATAATTTTAATATTTTTACAGTTGTAGTTTGTGGAAATTTAGAATCCATAGTACATGACGCAAAATAAAAGTTTATCGTATGTAGTTAGAATTTAAGATTTAAACAGTAATCGCTACCAATCCAAAAAGGAGGTTTATAGATGGTGCTGCATGCATTGTAAAGATTTACATATTGACTTAGTCAGTTTACTTCGGACCGTTGTATTTAATAATTTTTTTCATATTACATGAACTTTGAGAAACTTATGCTTCTTTTCTTTATCTAATGTAAGCAAAATATTGATTAGTTATTTCATATTCTATACAATTTCTCTAATAGCTTTATTTTTATCGATCCTATTTAGAATTACTATATCAATGAAGTATAATCTCAAACATCATAAATAGGAACGGTATATTATCTATGCAATGTATGAAGTATTAAATTAAAAGAATGATGTGCTATTACAAAATTGTCTTTATTTTTAAAATGAAAAAGAAATTTATCATATATGAAATAAGAAAAAATGAAAGTTATTCGATTTTCTTGTTTGGTGTACCAAAAAGAGTGAATCGATTTTCCCATTCAAAATTTGTAAGACATTCACGTCGTGGAATAAATACATTTGGATCACTAATACCAACTGTAATATCATACCATGATAAATGTGAGCTACCATATTTTTCGCTATAAGTTGTTCGAGATACTGGAAGACAACCACGATATGTCCATGTAGATACATAGTCAATTGTATCGTTTGTTGGTGTTGTAAAGTTACCACCCCTAAATACATTAACACATGTATAAATATCTATTCTAGAAAATAAGTAGTGAGAAATTATTTACCAGATTGTAACTAAAACACCTGTTTCAGGGAAAACTGATGAGCCAATATAAGCTTCGCCAAATGAACGATCATTTGGGCGAATACCAAAATCACGCCATGGTCGTCGGATTTCTTGACGTGTGCAATTGCGTGCCTTGTAGTTGTAGATAAATTCAACTCGTTGATCAAAAAGAGCAATTGTATCAAAGTAGTCTTCTCCAGTAGTTTCATCAATTTCATCAACAAGTCGTTCACGACGATAAACAGCATCATAACTTAATTTGCCTTCAACTCTAAATTTTTGTTCTTCATTAATATCGAACAAACGTCCTTCCCATTGTGGTGGAGTTGTACATGGTTGTGGTCTTTGTGCTACGGCAATACCGACCAAACAAAGTAAAAGAGCTGCAAACATTGCTCTTGTTATTAAAACTATAGTTGAAGAAAGTGGCAAAAAAAAATTGTGTTGTAGATTATGAAAAAATATCTCTCTTTATATATACGACTGTGAGAAGAGTTTAGTCAACATTTATTGTCACTTACCTTGACTTAACAAGAAAAAAAACGAAGAATATCAGTATAGTTTGCTGTTATCATACAGAACAGCCTTAGATAACAAATTAACAG